TAAAACTGTTTTTTTTAATACACTCATATGTAATTTTTTATTACAAAAGAAAAAAAACAGAATCTTTATTGCAAGTCCATTAAATAAACAGACATTCCTATAGTACTTTTAGTAGTTTTCATTAACTTTAACAAACAAGGAAAACATTAAAAAATAAAACATATTAAAGAATGTGTTTTTTATCCATATTTTGTGTAATTAGATTATGTATGGAAGTGAGATTACCAATCATTATGATTATGAGTACGCAAGTGAATTGACTCAGGTAAGTACTCTATAATATGAATATAATAATACGAGTTTCTACTTTTTCGGTGCCACCAATGCATTAGGTGATAAGATAATGTGTGTTCTCGATTTGACGGTGAATTTCCATAATGAGATGATATGTCTTGAGTTGAGTGCATAACTTTTAATGAAATTCTTTTTACAATGATTTTTAGAACAAAAAATATGATAGTTTTTTTTTCTTTTAACTAAAATTAGTTCAGATGTCAGAAAATAAATTTTAAATTTAAAATCACTTTATACATAATTTTAAGTAGTGAATTTTAATATAAATTATAAAATAATATTTATTCTTATTTATATATTACAAATTTATTTTTCTACATTCAATCAGATTTTCAACATACATATCTCATTCTAAAACATTAACATTTCAAAAGTAAAATTATACAATAATAGTTGTTCGATCATATTTCATTAACCAATAGTATATTTAATTTAACTAATAATAAAGTTTTGTAAGAAGTAAACTTTAAATTTAATTTAATTATAAAAAACGGTTTGTAAAATAAAATTTATATTACTTATGTTATTTAGAGTAAGATTTCTTATTTCCAATATTTTTAATTTATTAATAAGTTAATTTTATTTATTTCTTAAAATACTTGTAGAAAGTCGTACGAATAATTTCTTACTATTTTTATTATTTTGGTTAAGTCAAATGACAAAAATTAGATAGCTAGCGTGTTGTGTGGTTCCACCTTCCCCTCGTTTTAGCAACACGAGTCACTTAATATATCATTTTTAATATATATACCCTTTCTTGAACCTAAAACGTGACTTTTTGTATTTTTCAACTTCTTTTCTATCATATTCTACTCCTTTAATAAGTAGCAAATACCATCAAATTGTAATTTTATAACTTTCAAAATAATTCGTATACCAGAAAGCTATTCAATCATGCCAGAGACAAGGACAGAAAATAGATAAATATAAATTATGAAAAAGAAATAAAACATAGTTCTATAGAAAAGTATTATATAAAGAAGTAAATTAACAATACAGTTTGTAACATATTTTAGAACTTTATTATCAGCTCAAATGTACTAAATCACAAAAAATACAAAGCAAAAGTTATTAATCAAAGTCACATTTTTTTTTTGCTTTTAAATAATTTTTTTAAATACTCATGTTTAAAAAAGTATGACATTTTCCGTGGATAAAAAGAATATATGACAGCATGTTAGTGGAAACAGTGACATGCAATGATTGGAGGATGTGAACAACACTGATTGGAAGGTGGTGGTCACAACAAGCCATGTCGAATTAAATGCTAAAATCACTTATTTGAAATACAACCTTCATTTGTTAATAAATAATTGTGTAGACTTCAGTTTTCTTACAATTTTCTAATTCGTTTATGCACGAGTTTTAATACTTTTTCTTTTTAATTCTTCACTTAGGGTTACCTTTCTCTGGTTCGAATTTCCCACTACAAAAACCAGTAGTTTTTGTTCAGCCTTATACAATGTGGCTGGATTTGGTTGCTGGTGTCTGAATTTTCTTAATAAATAATCTCTAATGATGTAATTTGTTAAGGGGTAGTTTGTTCTACAGTGAAAATAGTTTAAGTAATTGCCTTTAAAGTCACTCTTACAGGAACAAAATCACTGACAGCAAGTGTTGGTAAGTTTTATCAGAGAAAAGGATCGATGAATATAAAATTTAATTTTTAAAGGGTTATTTTCTTTTCTATCATGCACTTGGCAACGATATAGCAACTCTTATGAACTATCTGATGTTGATATGAAATCTTTTGAAGGCCTTAAGCAATAAACTCACAGTATCAGTTCAACTGACAATCAAATCTCTTTAGACTACTTTTTCTCCAGTTTAGTCTAATCCATCTACCATTCTCCACAACCTCGTGTTCCTCTTAAATCTAGTTGGCAATGGCAATTCCTATATAATGTATACATTATTGATAGCTAATTCCGTACCGATGCTAAGTGAGAACATGAATGTTGTTACAGTTGCAGAAGTAATCAAGTTATGTTGTTTGGTGACTCTGATTTGGCTTGTTGAACTTTGGAACAAACTATGCTCTTTTTCATACTAAATTAGCTATTCAGAAAGTTACACAAGGTTCATAACTACATATCAAGCCACACACACACACAAAAGAACTTATATGGTCTTGTATTGTTTACATCATGAAGATATTTTTATCCCTGGATTCTTGTTCATATAAACATATTCTAGATCTGAAAAGCTTTAAAGCCTGCTAGTGATGTTAATGTTTTTCACTTTAGGCGATTTGGTAGTTGTGTCTTTAGGCAAAAGTATAGTGAGGACACCATTTTCCACCTGTGCTTTGATCTGATCCACCTTGACATTTTCTGGCAATTCAATTTCCCTTGAGAAAGCCCCATTCCCGGTGCCTCTCTCAGCAACATGACAAACAGTATCTTTCTCCTTTGCTTGAGGCTCCTCTCTCCCACCTTCCCCTTTGATGTGTAGAACATTTCCATCCTCAATCTGCACCTTTATGTCATCCTTGCTGAATCCTATCCACACACATACCCATCATCCAAAACTCAAATATCATTACCACTCAAGTCAAACCCTAAAAAAGATTCCATTTTTACCACTACAGACAGCATCTCCACTCACGATTCTAATGGGCCATTGAATGTGAAGAAGGAGTGAAAGATTGCAAAAAATTAGATGCAATTCTCCATGTATATTCACTATTATTCTAATTGGAACTAGAGTTTCAATTCTATGATACACATAACAAAAATTTAAACTAAACACTGTATGATCAAATTAAAATTGAAAAGTAACACTAAAAACACTTGAATAGTTTTATATCGAACATTACTTTCGTACCAATCCGAACATGGTACCTGGAACGTTAATTTTTAAGATGTGGGCATTAGGTGATTCGAGCCAATCCAAGAGGGCCGTGGAGCCAGACCATTCAGTGAGAATTGGAGGACGACTCCAGAATAAGCGTCTGAGAGGGTACCCAAAGATAGTGTCAGCCATTGTTGATTACACCAGTGTAAAGAGAAATGTAGCAGAAAAAGGAAAAAAATAAAAAAGACCGATGAATGATATGGTTCTCGCAATTTTTGTGATGAACAATGAAATTATTATATATTTTATGTGTTTATGATAGGAGTTGTCGCGGACACTCCAGAATGTTCTTTGATCTTGTGTCGTCTTCAATCAAATTATCTATTGTTCTGGGTTCTTCCCCAATAGCGAAGTGCAAAGTGATTCGCCGCAACTGGGTTTTCCATATGGAGCCCATTTATAAATGGGCCACAAGGTTTTTCAGTTTCTGTTTAGTCTAATTGATTGGGCTGGGGGTTGGAGTTCGGCGTCGGAAATAGGACACGTTGTTGGGCTCGTAATCTAACAAAAGAGGTAAATTCGCTCCTCCGAATTTTAAATACATATATAGTTATGTTATAATCCCAATGACATGCATTATTTATTTTAAATAATAAAGTAATTTCTACGTACTAACAATTAATTTTTTCTGATGATGATGATTAAGAATAAATAAACGTAATTATATAATACGCGCTTAATAAGATCGTAAAGTTATTGACATGCCGCGTTTTACAGATAGTTAGCATACCATAAGTTTATTCAAATATCAGACAATAACTACTTTTACTTATATTAAAACATGTATGAGTTTTATTTTATTTTGATGGTTAACAGTAATGAAAATTCATATATAAATTTTGTTTTCATGATTAAAAGAATTATCTGAACACAATTTTTATTTTAAACTTGTATATTTTAGAATATGATTGCGTTGCTTAATTTTAAGATTAAACTGGTAGTGCATAATTATTTGGAGGTTCTCTTAGGCCCTGTTCTCTTGAGTGGATTTGAGGGAATGGATTTGAGGGGATTTGAAGATAATTTTTTTTATCGTTTTTTTGAACAAATTTGGAGGTAAATGAGAGTGAATTTAAAAATAATTTTTTTTAATATGTCATGTCAATACAATTTTATACTAATTCTCACAAATTTTATTTTCAAATTCATTCTCATTTACATCCAAATTCGCTCAAAAAAACGATAAAAAAAATTATTTTCAAATCCTCTCAAATCCTCTCAAATTCCCTCAAATTCATTCCCTCAAATCCACTCAAGAGAACAGGGCCTTAATTTGGAACTGATTAGTGTGGTTGAAATTAAACAATCTTTTAAGCTTATGATACTTTATTGTATATGATGTATAGACGTGGATGGACATGGTTGTGTTTCCTTAATCTCTAAGAGATGGATCCATGGAAATAATGAAGGAGAAAAGGGTTTGCGTTGTGATCCTTTTGATGCATTATTAAAATGGATTTTCTTAGATTATCTTCAATAACTTTATGTTATCTTTTTTTGGATATTCTTTTGCCAGAGAACTTGGTTTGAATGATGCATACAACACTTTAAAGAAACAAAAGAATAATATATTCATTTTTTTTTCTTTACAAGCATGGGACAATTGACAACACAACTTTGTGAAGTGGAGAAGAAAGTAGCTCACTCACCTTCTTTCCTCTTGTATTCAAAATTCCAAATACTACATTCTTTTTTCCATATGGTATCCTCCTCAAGGTTCAAACTTCTCTTTAGAAGTCAATTTTAAATTTAAAAGTAAGTAAAAATAACTAAAGAAAAAGAAAAGAAGAAAGCAAAAGTAAACCAATACATAAGAGTAATGATAGGTTCAAATTCCAATTTGAGTTTCAAACTGGATTTAAATTTATTTACCTGCATGAGAAAGAAACAGAGAGAAAGAAGGAATCATGTTAGTATATATTGTTGAATCCATCATATATTCTCTTTTCAACATGACAGATGATAATATAATATTACTTACTTACCCTGTTTTCCACATATTTTGGTCATGAAAGCTAGGAAAATGATAAGTATAGCCAATCCTGCTAATGATCCAATAATTATAGCAAATGTCTTTACACCTCCATGACTCGATTCGCCTGCATTACACCAAACATCTTATTTTCTCTTCTTCTTTCCTAACAAAAACTATTCTCAATTTACTTCAACAAAATAAAACACTTTCTTAAAATGTTTTATTGGAGGAAAAAAAATTATACATGATTACTCAGCTTCTATTTCATTGTTTTTTATTATATTTCTAATATAGTGTTTACATACTTGAAAGGAAATACTGTTAAAAAATTTCTATATCTTCTGTACAAATATTTGAAAACAAGAAACTAATTAAAAACAATTCAATTAATATTAATGTAATTAAAAAGTGAAATAAAACATAAGTAATGTCTCTTCAATTACTTGGTTGGTTGTCATATTTATATAATTTTTACCTTTTAGTTTCTATACCTAGAATTCACTTCAATCTTTACACGTTGTTTGAAGCTGTCTTGGTCTTGATCTCTAAAATAGTTAAAACTAACATCAATAAAAGGTGTAGATATAGAAAAAAAAAATATTAAAGTTGTGTAAATAAAGAAATGAGTAATTAAACACTTCTTAAAACTTTGATTCTTACAATTTGTGAAAGAAAATTACAATTTTTACATCGGATCCAAATGGTGAACACACATAATAAAACTTCTCTCATGAGAGTTCAGAACTTGAAACCCATGAGAGGTAGTAAGAGAAGAACAAGCATGCGATCATGATGATGGGCCTTACCGTGGGCCTTGGACTCACCGTGGGCCCCGCCGGTGGAGTATCGCGCATAACACTTCCCCAAGAACATATCCCCGTAATCCGCCGTGCCGCAGTCTCCCTTCAGCCGCGAGATGGCCTCCGCCACGCAGTCCTGGCACTCGCCGTAGCTCAGGTCTCCGGTGCACTGCGCCATGCCGCGGACTCCGCCGGAGCCGCCAACCCTGAAGTTCCCTCCAGTGGCAGCGAGCCCGGCAAGCACGGCGTCGCGGCTCCCCATGGCGTCGGGGTTGTACCCCACCGAGGGCCCGCACTGCTTCAGCACAACCGTCTTGTCCTGTGCGCCGAGGAACGTCGCGTTGTCGTATTTCACGAAGCAGCCGTCGAGCTGCACCGCGCCGCCGCACGTCCCACGACAGATATCGCCGGCGCGCGTGACGGCGCGTGCCACGCAGGCGGCGCAGTCCGGCATGGAGAGGTCGCCGCGGCACTGGTAGAGGCCGCTCATCGCGTCCTGCTGCGTGGATCCCACCACCGTGAAGTTGTTATAAGACGAGTACGTGGCCGAGTTGACCAGCGATGTGAGTAGCGAGTCCAGGTTCGACTGGTACGGCGAGTTTGGGGTGTACAGTTGCTGCGTGCACCCGCTGTAGAGAAACGCGCTCGGGCTGGAACACTCCGAAAACTTGGGGAACAACAGGATCACGCAGAAAAACACACCCACTGTGATTACTCTGTTTGAGATGCCCCTTTTTGTCATTTTCATTTCTTGGAGATGTTGACGTATGTTAACTCTAATATGGGTTTGAATGTTTAGGGCACGTATGTATATATATATACAAATGCATACGTGAATGATTATATCATTATATGGAATGAACAAGTGTTTTTGGTGCTATTACTATTTCTTCAAATGAATATGAAGATTTTGAGCTATGCAGAAGGATCCAGCTGTGAGTTTTCACGTAGAGTTGCTTTAAATAAGCAAAATACACCAGGGAAGAAAAAGGTTCTCCATGATTATTTTACAGTCTGTGGGGTCCTGTAAACTCTTTTCTTCTTTCTTAGGCCAGTTGATTATCTATCATCATGCTTTTCTTTTTGCTTCATATAATTCAAACAAAAGTAGCAACTTTACTTTCTTTCTTTTGCTAAGAAAAATAATTTAAAACTCTGACAATGTTAAAAGTGATCTGGATTTATAAACCAGTGAGAAATTTATTGTTATGTGCGCATTTTAAACGGTTGGAGAAGATAACTTAATAGAAGAAACATTGCTAAGTCTTTTCAAATTGGGAAATATTGCTCTCTGAGCACTGAAAATCTAAATAAAAGTTGGAGAGAGCGACACTTAGTCAACAATATACACTGAACAATATAAAGTAAGAAATGTAGTTATTTAAGGGGCAGAGCTCATATAAGTAGTTTCTGCTTAATTCAATCTAGTGTTTTGAAACACATTAATTAATAGACGCAAATAAGTTTGGTGCTGGTTTCAATCAATGGTTTTTTATATAAATTTTGCAGAATATCGATTGTTTGTGTTGCCAACTTTTTAAAATCACTTTCCACCTAATCAAACTAGCCCCTTTTAAAGGTATGACTCGTTTCAAGTTCAAACTACCTTCCTCTTCAAATGATGTTTTAACAATTTGCTTTTGTTGTTTCTGTCAAATTCTTAAAGCTTGTTTTGCCTTCTTCAAAAACCCTAATGTGAAATTTACATATTATGTAATTTATTTTAAGTATATATCTAGAAGATGTGGAATCCTTGATCAGCCACAGACAGGCACATGGAATATTACCATATTGGAGTTCTATATATATATATATATATATATATATATATAACTTGATATAGCTAAGTTGGTAAGAAGTGTAGTGGATCTTCAGTGTGTCGCAATGATTTGTGAATATATTATTTTATGGCTCTATGGATTAATCACGAAGTAAAGCTAGAACACTTATACAAGAAAAGGCTAAGACACTTTCCTTTCACACACTGCACCATCACCTTTTCCTATTGAAGACAGTAAAGGCCAACTATGACATCGCACTACCCTCCTCAATTTCATCATAACTTTAGCAAAGTTTTGAAACATATATTGGTATACTTATACACACACATGCATGCTAAATAATCGTTTTTGTACAAGAATTTTTAATAGCTAGTATAGAGTTCATCCCAAAGAGAATGGAACATCATTAAAAGCTGATGCTGTGACATGTTGATTGAGCTATGTATACAAGTTTTCTGATACACATATATAATGATAGTAGCCTTAACAATATACCTGGCTGTTTAAACTCTTAATCACTTAGTTATAAACATATGCTATACTATCAAGTGTGTCAGTGATTTTTTTAATCTAATATACTAATTAAATGTTAATTAACTTGCCTTTTCTTTTTTAGAATTCTATTTTATATTGTTAATTAATATAGTAAAATACATAGAGATAATATTATTTTGCAGACTTTATTGTTATTAGAATATTTATAAAAGAGTAATGGTACCATGACACACTTCTACATTCATTTGACACACACTACAAGAGTAAAATGGTCCTAAAAGTGTAAACTTTTGTATTATCTCAAGAAAGAAAGTAAAAAGTAAGAGTACTCTCAAATGAATATAAAATATTTAGGTGTGTCAAAGAATCTTTACTTTTTATAAAACTAACATTTGGAAAGATAAATTCCTACTAAAGAAATGAAAACAATTCTAAAATTACAAGTATATGTATAGTAGATGTATGTGCACACTGTTCATTTACTTACAAAGTATAGCAATTTTAAATATTTATTATTAATTTTTCTAATAAAGTTAATATAAAGTTAGTATAAAATTTGAATGAAGAAAAATTCTGTTATTTTTCAAGTATACAATTTCTTTATAAAATTTTTGAATTAAACCTGTTATTTTGAAATCGTAATTTGGTAACAGTCGAAAAAAATAAATTATTATTCACTTTATCAACTATTGGCCCAATATAAACACCCCTTCAAGCCCAATATGGTGGTTGTGGCAAGTGTTTGGCAGAGCATGTGTTGTTGAACTAAAAGCCCAACATACTGCTTGGATCAATTTTTACATTTCAGAGGCTTCTCTGTTGTTTTCAGGTTTGGGAACTTTCCCTGAAGCTCATACTAGGCTGGTTCCTATTACTAATCTTGGTCTTCATGAATTTTTCCAATGTTAAAGACCAATCTAAATAAATGAATTTTCTTATGTTGACCAAAAATTTGAAATTATTTTCCTCTTCAACTTTCCCCTTCTCAATTTCACCAAAGGAGTTCAACTAATGATAAGGACTGGGTCAACCAATTCCACACTCCTCTATGCATCAAAGGTGCATTTCAATTCATACATCAGAGTGGTGGTTCAAGCACCAAAAATGTTACTTCCAAATTCCAATCTTAGCTTCAAGTTGATTCAGCAAAAAGAATGAAAATAAAAAATAGGAATATAGGAAGAGGTTTGTTTATCTTCACTTTGCTCTTCATTAAAAGGTATAATTTCTTTTCTTGATTAAAATGCTTTATCCCTTCTCACCATATATAGCCACAAACACTCATTTATAGTGCAATAATTTTCCATAGATCAATCACTGTTATTCATACTTCTTTTTTCTGCAATACTTTTAACTACTCATCTTTCTTTATCTATCATCTTATTTTACTTTTTCCCTTTCTCCTCCTCGCAGTCTCTCTTTTGTTTTATTATAAAAGGTACCGTGAGTGTAAGATAGTTTTATTATAAGACTGAGTAAATTTATCATATATAATAACAGTTTATAATTTATAGAAGTTTAAAACAATTTATATTACTACTATTTGCTTTCTATTGTTATTGCAAGAAGTTCAGACAAGTTTCTAACATGTTATCAACTGTTGCTTGAAACAAAAAAATAATTTATGGAACAATGGATTTTGAGGAGTATCACTATATATACAGATGCAGTGAATTCTGACCTTTTTTGACATTTTGAGATATGAAGTACTGTATCTTAATGGGGGAATTGACAACTTGTAAGTTGTGTACACCATTACTGTTGTCATTCTAATTATATAGTGTATTTTTCTCTAATTCCATGGGATTGTACTATTCCTGAGTTCATTTGGTCGAAGAAAAGCTAAAAGGGTATGCATGTCCCTCCCTGTTTACAAGTCAGAATTGCCATCTCCTATGCAGTGTATAGAACCTACTATTTGTCTCACACGACCAAGTTTCCGAGCCATGAGACGGTTTACTAGTCTCTCTAGAGCTTCTTTCATCCACCAGTGTTGACAAACTTCCCTTGCGTCAGAAACGCTCATCTACACCCCAAAAGGAAATTTTCAAACACTTTCTTAGTTCGTGATCATTAGAATGAAAGAAAAAGAATCATTCAAACACTATCTATCGCACTGATCATTTAGAAGAAGCAACTAAGAAAAATTCAAACAGTGTCCTCAGTATTCCATTTTTAGTATCACCTACCCATGTTCTTTGACGAAAATTCTGCTCAGGCCAGAACTCCAATTGCTCTTGGACAAGTAGAGGGAACATGTAGCCCTCATAAAATGTATCATGAGTCTTGCTCTTGAAACTCCACTTACCCAATTTCCCCTGCACCAATCAAATCAAACTTTAATCTCAACTTAAACAAGTTTTATTGGTAGTTAAGTTGCATTAACAATGATTTATGATCTTATAGTTATCAAACTTTTGTCATTTCATCGAATAGCCTGACCTCAACAGTGCCTCGAACCCCTGCTTCCTCTATGGTTTCCCTCAAAGCTGCCTCCTTTTTGGATTCGTCCAATTCCCAACCTCCCTGTTGTTTGGTCAAACGGATACCACAAAACGGGGTGAATAAAAAAGTTAACAAATCAAAATATATCCCATTTGGGAGATGATCAATTTCATTGACTAATACCTTAGGAAACAGCATCCCTTTGCCTTTTTGAGAAGTGATGACCAAAACTTCTAAATCTTCTGGTCCCTCCAAGGAAGTTCGATCCACAATTTTATATCTGTAGGGTATGCATCTGCACAATTGAAATGAAAGAAAAGAAAAATGTTCAGTCACAATTGAAACGAAACTGAATAGAGTCAGAAAGACTTGCATGAACGAAAAATGGGTTTATATCGATAGAGAAAATTGAATACTAAAGGCAACGATGGGATTAGAAAGAGGAGACAAACCCCACGACTTGGCGACGACCTTTCCTGTAGCGTTGTAACTCTCTACCTGTACGAGAAACCAATGCAACAACGTTGTTGTCTTGGGAAACCAAAGCCACCATTTTTGTAAGAATTGGAAAAAGGGTGAGAGAAAGAAAGGTTAGAAGTTGAGAGAGGAAGAGAACATGCAAGTTGTGTTGTGTTTATTAGTGGATAGGATAACAAAGAGAGGGTCCTATTAATAGAGGCTATGCCTTTTTCTACCAAGTGGAAACAAATTACTTTTTCTTTTTTTAATTTCATTTTATCAATAAAATAACCTACATTTACCTTTAAATGCAAATCACATTGTCTTAAAACTTACATCAATTACATGGTCTTAAAAATTCTTTTCAAGTTACCTACCATTAAAAGATATAAAGATTTATTGAAAAACAATTAAAAGAGATGCAAAAAAGACAAATAAATCATTTACATTTTCTTTATTAATCATAACAAATAATAAAAAAAGTGTATTTGTATAACTTTAAAAACATTTTATCAATAATAAAAAACAACTTTACAAATGTCATCTGCCTTAAAAAATAATAAATTATTTGACATCAATCACTACCATTTGACAATTCATTAAAAAATGTAAAATGATCATGATAAAAAAAATTGTATTTATAAAAACTAATTGAATAATAACGAAGAGGTAATATTAAATAAGTGTAAAAAAAATTTAGAAGTCAAAATATAATTTCTTTTAGAAAAACTACAACATAAATAGATAATATTAATATTCGTATATTTTTAATATATGAAATCTACCCAATAAAGTATTTTAATCATTTACGTTTGGAATTATATTTAGACCTTTCTATGTACGTAACACTTTTGTTGCATTTAACAACAATCGCAAAGTATTCGAGTGTTTTAATTCAATTTCTCAAATTAATTACGTTAATAAAAGAACTGCACCAATCACATATACCACAAATTTAATATGAAAACAAAACAAAAATTAGACACGTAGACGCAATTTCCTATATTTTGAGAGAAAATGCATACACCTTTTTGTGTTTTGTTATTTTAAATGGAATAATTTTCAACACTTTTATAACATATTTTACTTAGTAGGAAGTGGCGTAGTGAGAGGGAATTTTGTGGATAGGTGCGAACACAGGTGCTACATATTTGCGTGAGAATCATGTTATTTATCTTGTTGCCTTTCTTAGTTTAGATATTAGGTTTTTTTAGAAAAAATTAATAGTCGAATTGATTATTTAATTTTAATAAATTCAATTAAATTCGGGTTGTATCAAGTTGAATTGAGTAATATACACATTTACGTTAATGTTTTCTTTTATTATTGACTTTAGTTATTATTGTTCCCTGTCTTTCACTAACTTGTTTAAGATCTCAACAAAAAATATTTTAAATATATAATTTCTCTTTCAATATATACTAAGAAAAATGTAAATTTCCTTTGCAAAAGCGGGGCTTAGAAAGCACAACATAGAAGAAACAAAACAAAAAATGTCACTGATTGTTCTTAGTTTTCCATTTAAATTGAAAAGTAACATTTTTTTCTTCTAAAAGTGTTCCCACCAAAAAATCAATAGATAGAATCCCAAAGAAATATCGGTTCCTCTAATAAGCCATTTTGCATGGACGGTGGGTTTCATTAACATTTTTAATTAAAACTAATCTATTACCATAGTAAAGATTTTTTTAATTGTCTTTTTTATATATATATAAAAAGTTGTTTGTAATTTCATTTGTATGTTTCAAAACAACTAAAATTGCATAAAGTTTTTTTTTCTGAGAAGTAGATTTTATAACTATGAAAATTTTAATACAAGATTATTTTTACGATTTTTTGTCAGCTTCATATATAGTATTTTTCTAATAAAAAAAAGGTTTTGTTGCACCAAATAAAATTAATTTGTATTTTCTCATCAGAACTATTTATCTTTCTCTATTTTTTCTCTAATAAATTAAAGCATGAAAATATAATTTTCTTCTTATTTGTTTTACTATTCCATATTAACAATTAGAGGAGCAATCCAATTAATTTAGGCATTGTATATTTAATTAGTGGAATTTTCTATTTGTTTATCATGAACAAACAATATGTTGATTAAGAATTCAACAATGCACCTAAAAGATTTGTCTTCCATAACACAAGCATGACATAATAAATTATCATTTCTCATAAAAACATTTATTTTCTTATATATTTCTTGCCGAAAGTTATGAACAAACTCCACATAAAATATGTAACCTTTAGAGAAACATCACTACTACACATTTTTTTTACAAATTTTCTTGTTTTTTCTCCTTCTCCACATAAGTTCTTATTTTGTATTCCTTACCAATTTTATGGTTTGTTATAGTGTAGAGTATGTTGTAGCTATAGTTTTAAAACAAAGATTTTTAGTTCAATTATGAATTCAAACTCTATTTTAATTTCATCTTTTAATTGAGATAAATCCGGTTGTTTATAAATATTAAAAAATTATGAAATTTAAAAAATGTTAAAACTAATTACATTTACTATTATTATATTATCATTATTATTAATATATCAAATGAAAATAATAATAAAGTAAGTGAACTAGTTTGTAGATTTTGACTTTGAATAGACAATGTAAAATTGAACAGCGGCTCCTCAACGTTCCCACGGATGCCACGTGATAATAAACGTCAATACTGACTCAGCTGTCAGGCTGTGTATATAATTTTTATAACTTCCAAGTAAAGGCTCTCTTAAAAGTTTAAAATACATAAAAAATGTTATATACTTATGATAAAATATTAACGTTATTTAAAACACATGTTTATTTTGTTTTATGATAAAAAGTAAAATAAAATAATTATTAATATAATTATAAAAATAAACTTAAATAATGTTTACAACTTTATTATAAATAATATTTAATTTTTTAGATATTTTTTTATCATAACAATTATTTTAATTTTAAAAAATAATTAAATTTTAGAAAAACAATCAAATTAAAAAATATTAAATTTATAAAAAAAGAAAATAATGGTTAAAAAGATAAAATTGATAAAATAATCATTCTGATTTTAAAAATAAGAGAGATCATATATATATATATATATATATATAATATCTATAATATCTAGTTGACATTAAACACAAAAACAGATAGCACAAAGGATAAAATAAAATATTTGCACTATTTTTTGCTTCGAATATATTTGAGATTTTACGATGATTTTGGAATATATAATTATGTTAACCTCTCAAATTTTATGATTAAAGAGTTAGATTTTATGTTTTAAAACTTTGCTGAACTATTTTATTTTTTGAGAAACCAAAATCATAAATGTTTTCAATTTTAGAGATTAAAAATGATCAAATCTTGATCTTTTTTTAATGAAAACATTATGTTAGATCACAAAATGGTGGTACATTCAAAATTGGTTAATTTTAAAAATGGAAGAAGTTAGATATAAATTTTTAAAAGGCTGAAACTTGAGTAATCTAAAACTAAATAAAAATGAGTAGTCTCTGATCTTGTCTTATAATTTTTTTTTAAATAAAACTACACAATTTACATTACGATTTTCTTTCTGAAAAAATATATTATATGATCGTACGGAAAATTTGTTCAGTTTTCGTGTTGTTCTCTGATTACTATAGCATGACGATATGAACTTTATATACAGAATCTTCCTTACATTATATTATTTAAATAACTGGAAATAATGATTTCACCAATACACAAATTTTACTTATTTTTCCGACACATTATATGTTGATACTTTTGCAAATGTGATTTCTATCAGACTTTTGATTAAGAAAAGTGAAAAACTAACATGATCTTTTAACCCTTGAACTAACTATTATTCTTTTTTAATGTACTTATTATGGTTCTTGTTACATCATACGATTTGTATAATAATCACTTAAAGAAAAGTCACATTACTTAACAATTTACATTGGTGTTGTTCAGTTTTGGTGGGGGGAAAGTCAGCTTTTGCACAGTTAATTAAATTAATTATCGTTGATTAATATCTATATCTAGGGGGTAAGAATTTAATACGTATAATGGTGATGCAAATGTTGGAAGAATACTCAATACATCTCTAGCTCATTACATTTAACAATAAATAACTCGTATTAATATGAAAATTAACAAAAAACAAAATTGCTTCCTAGTTACCTACCATACACGTGTTGTAGAAATGCAACAGTGACGATAATGATAAAAAGTTGATAGCTTATCTTTCAATAAAAAAAAAAGTCGAAGAGGAAATATTTGATTTGATGTTAGAAAAGTGAGAGAAAAATGTGGCAGGAAAGAGCAGAGGAGAAAGGAAAAGGGAAGAGCAAGAGGAGAAAAAAAAAATGTAGTCTCTTAAACGTAAACTTAACGTCATTCCTATCACAAAGAAACTTTATTCATTCAAAATTGTATAATCTTGGTACCTAATATCTTTACTTTTAAAATTGGATACTAAACAGAAATTTATCGAAGATAAAATAAGTATTTAAGTCTTAAATATATTACATACCTCGATATTTTAGACACGAAGTGATAATATATCTTATTTTTCTTAAATTTTATTATAGCATATTATTTATTATGTTTTTTTTTCTTCTCTTTTCTTTATGTGACAAACACATATGAAAATATTTACTCTCTATATATGTTAGTCTCATACAATCATATGAATGTTATAATTAAAATTATTATCTCTGAATATATTTAAAATATGTTTTGGTTAATTGCATTTCATTATTAATGTTTTCAGATTTTAAAATAGTTTATATAGAAAATAAAGTAAAAGTGAAGGTGGGCGCATGACATGGATGGATGAAGATGCAAACGTAGTTTTTCCATTTGATTGAGCCGACTCAGACCATTTCCAATGCGCATATAAATATGTCAAATTACCAAGGGAACAAGGGTTTGTTTTCTCTTTTCAAAGAAAAGGTCAGACAATAATAATATTGCTTTTTATAGAATAAAGGAGTCATATAAGGAGTATGTGTTATATTCTTAGTTCTCATTATACCTTGATCTCATTTGATTGAACTTGAAAGTTAAAATAGTAGAATTAAAATTATATATAATTGTGATTCTAGAATCCTAGTTTTTTTTATGGTAGAATATTCTTATTTATTTAATTAATGTAAGTATTCAATTTTCATGTTTAATGCTTGACGTGGATTGATTCCAT